AGAACATGTAGCATTATCGGTACATCATCACAATTCTCCGAGGGAATATAAAAATATTCAAATAATGCTTGTCTCAAATAAGCTATCATGTTTAGGTCATCATTATCAATATACATTTTATTTCCAACAAGATTAAATTGTAACCGGTTTTGAACACGATACCCTGTGTGAGGGTCGACATATGATACCATAAAATAGTTTTCATTCCAACACATACAAGCCCCCCACTTATAATGACGATGAGAACATAACCACACAACAACATGAATATTTGCATAAAGTACATCGTCATAATACCATGTTATGGGTTTACATCCATAATGCTCTCTCATTCCAACTTCAAAAAAATCCACCAAATTTGCATTAAATTGATAGGGTTTATCTTTATACGTATAACAATGATTACCCATACAAACACCAACACATCGACCTTTACACACAGCATTCATAATGTCTACTATCGAAATTTTAGATCGTCGATTAAATACATTATTTAACAGTAGTGAGTTTAATACGGCAATGAAAACATTACAGACAAAAATGGAGAATGACCATAAAAGGGCACAAGGTATACACGTTATTCATTATAAAAATAACCAAAGAATATAGACATTAGTCATTACAACATGTTGTTTAAACAATTTGTTCCTCATAATATCGAGGGGTATAGCAATTGTTTCCCCACCGAAGTAATGGCCGCAGAACGACAATTTGTTCATCATCGTATCGAGGGATTTCATAAACTATACTACTACAATAATACACCTAACGTGTTGTCTTGGTAAAATATATCGATACCATGTTACCAGAAAGTGTACACCCGTATATACGTCTACAGGTCCCCGCAGCGCGTTATCCCATATACCGCTATTTCTACGACCCAATGAATGTATACAAGTACATACGGTTAGTAAAAAAGTTGTATCCTTTTTTAATATAAACAGCTAAATTAAAATAAACTATGTGTATCTTATAGACAAATGGTGCATCACAACCCGTCGATTCCATCGTAACGAAAATCAGCATAGCCGAATTTCAAGAAGCAAGAGCATCTAACAATCCATTCTATGTATTTAGAAACATTGTAGATCCTGGTATAACAAACATAAAACTACAAAATTAATAAAAAAAATTTTATTCACAAAAACCACTGTGTGCGTCTATATTCCTTCTAATTAACTCTATTATATATGAAGATACTAAAACACCCGTATGTTCTAAAATATAACCCACAGCATCCTCGTTATCGTTAAATATCAGCAAAGCCCTCGTACAACAGTTTTGAAAAACATCATCAGCTTCAGATGAGGCTAATATAGGATAATTATTTGTTCGAGTATTCATACACGCTACTATACCCTTTTTGTTCAATTGATAATAAACAGTTTTATGAAGACGTTCATTTATCTGTTCAACGTTACTACGAAAAAATACATCTACAACTATAATACTATCTATAAATATAATCGTAGCCTTCTCTTCAATACAAAATACATACTCAATTTTGGTATAAAGTACACTGTTATGAAACCATGTCATCAAGCAAACCCCTTGCACACGTCGTCGATTATAAAAACATTGTCTCATCTGATAGTTAAATAGTTCTGCCTTATCCATTATAGCGCGACGCATCCCTCTTTCGGGTCTTTCTCATCCACCAACAGCAGACCAAACTTCTCCACTTTTTCATTCAATTTCCCATCAATATCAACTTCATGATCTACACGATCTAGGACCAATTCTTCTTCCTTTTTCTCTACACAAACGTTACATTCGCAATTCTTATAACAAGACATTTTTAAAAAACAATATACAACTCTCATTTATGTAAAACAATATTTATAACATACTATTTACTCGGAAAACCACAACTTATTTCAAAAAACTATAATGACCATATTAGGTAATACGAAAAAACAATTCTTTTACTACAAAGAACCAAAAACAACCCATGCGTCCATATTTCGACAATGCTATTTATTCATACCATTTTGAATATTCCACGCTGTATTTCTCTGTAAAAAAAGATATAAATAGATCACAATAACTAACTTTGAATTTTAAGTAGCGCTTACCTGCGAACGATTCAGCACACATTGGAGACGCGAAAGTTGACAACTAAAACTACGCAAATTCAAGCAATTTTTTAATTCTTGCTTAGCAAGGAAAAAACAACCTCAAGCAATAAAAATGTGTGACCAATGGGTAGGAAAAACAAGGTTTGAACAAGAAGAATTATTCATTCACATCTTATCACATTTGACAACCAAACAATGTCTACGCGAAAACCATGATTGTATGCACTTGGTGCATTTTTGCCAAAACGCCGATAAATTTATCAACGAAAATTGGGAAAAAGCATCAACATTTTTTCATCAACTTCTCTCTCAGGCTGGTGTGGATTATATCGACGCTGTGGGTGTAGACAATCATACCATTATCAAAAAGTATAACCCCGAAAGACTGTATACTATAAAAATCCTTCAATTGCGACCCGATGGTGAAAGAAAACCTTACGAAGAGGTATACGCATGGATTGAACAAAAAAAACCACTAAAACAACTATAACATTATATATAACATTACGATATTTTTAAAAATAATTTTTTCACCTTTCTTTTATAACAATAAACCATTATATTCGAACTGTATTCCGTGACACTAACCAACTCCCGCAGGATGATAACAATTGCAACCCGTACTCTAAAAAAAGAAAATTTGTAGAATTTTTTTAGAAATATATAAGAAAAATATATAGGAAAATATATTTTTTACCTCAGCCATAACGTATAATAATAAGAACCACAAAAACCAAAAAGGGTATAAGAAGAAGATGTAAAAATATCATCAGCGCCAACTTAAATGCGTCCTCTCCGGACATCATGAAAAATATATTTGTCTGACACTCAACACACATGCTAATCGCAACAACTTAGGAGGGACTCGAACCCCCATTGACTTAGGACTTTGTGCCCACCCCTTCTAATGCGAAGGTGGAATACCTCTATTCCAGGTGGACTCCCTAACGCGTATCCATTTCCGCCACACCGCCTACGATTAACAGTGTGCTAAGTTGGCAGACATATAACATTAGATTTAATTTGGTTTTTAACTACCTAATACTATACAATCACCGTTATTACGGTTTTACACAATGATGGATATTGTCATGCGCAGTAGAAAAAATATATTTTTATCCACCCTGTTGAGACATTTTGTTATTAGTACTAACAAAACATATCACCAGGGTGATTAATAATATATATATTAACAGAAAGAAAAAGCTGAAGAAGAAGCAAGGAACAAGCAAGTAACCAAGTTATATTGCATGAGATTGTTTTCCTTCTTTGAAAAGGTAAACAATCGACATACAATACACTTTTTTTCTTGAAGAACAACTTTTTTTATACTAGACGATCTTTTGCTTCGCGTTCTTTATACTAGAAGGAAATTATCGTCTATTATAAACTTTGTTAATGAAAAAGGATCATTGTTGTAATAGGACAGTTAAAAACTTATCGCCACGGTGATTCTCTTTTATTTTCATACTATTTATTGTTATACCACTCAATTGTTGCATGTTTTTATAAAAATTTGCAATGGTCGAATGGAATAATGAAAACACCAAGTGGAAGCACGTTATAAGAATTATCACCCTGGGTGATCAACACTTCAAACACACAACATGTCTGAATGCAACCACAACTGCTCATCCGCCACCGAATGTGAAAGATGTTTAAAGCAGATCTTTGAAGGAGAAAATTGTGCACTTGCCTACAATGAAGATGACGATTGGTTTGGTGATGAAGATGAAGAGTTTGAATTCGTCGGCAACAACGATTGGTTTGAGAACGCCTTTGTTGAAGGAATACAAGAACGGGATGAAATGCTGTACGGTTACCAGCAGCTGAATGAAGATGAAAATGATGGTGAAGATGAAAATGTTGATGAAGAAAATGATGAAGAAGAAACGGACAAATTGAAACGAGTAGATTAAACAAAAAAACTTAAAAAACTAATATATATTATGTAACCATAGCAATAAACAAACAAAGAAAAACAATGTGTGCAAGTGATATCCCTTATGAAAACAGGGTATTTGCCACTTAATTGTTGCATGTTTCTTTTGAAATTTGCAACGGTGTAAATGGTACTACCCTACTTTCAATTACCCTATTTTAAAGTGAAAAAATTCTTTTTTTTGAAATGTACGGTTTGGTATTATCTTAATTTTTACGAAAATATCACACCGTATTTTTTTTTGAAAAGGAAATACATGGAAACACCAAGTGGCAACACCGACTTTTGCTTTGAAAAACGGCGGCAAATTCGAATGCACGCCAGTTCGGTCAACCGAGGCTTTGGGTTCGGAGCTCCCCGACGCATGCGCAAACGACAGCGCATCGCAACCTGTCAATCAAACACACGACTACTTCTCTCAAAAAATGGGAACGCCCCCTTGAGATTTCCCCCCCCCGTCCATACAGTCAGCGGCGACGACCATTGACGCCCGCGATACTTTCTCTTTCCATTCAAAGCTCCAGTTAAATGAAGTTGGTTCACACACACCCTTTTTTTTTTAGTAAACCCTTTACTATTTAATCGTATTGGATGATCTTATGGCTCAATCTGGCAAAGATAAACGTATTTCTGATCTTTTTATGAAAGGAAGCCATCATCGAAATTTGTCCATCATCTATATTGTCCAAAATATATTTCATCAGGGCAAAGAAATGAGAAATATCAGCCTTAATGCTCATTATATCGTGTTGTTCAAGTCACCAAGAGATAAACAGCAAACTTCTATGCTTGCAAGGCAAATAAATCCTGGGAAAGTACAAGAGTTTATGAAGAGTTATGAAGATGTTACGAGCCGACCTCATGGGTATTTGATGTTGGATTTAAAGCCCGACAATGAGTGACCAAGATCGACTCAAGACAAACGTACTTCCAGGCAAGATTACAAAGTTTTTACACAAACAGTCGTATTGTCAACCACCACTTGTAAAAGCAATGTATAATGCCGAACAGCGAATGAAAAAAATCATGGAAGCGCCACAACTTTCTGTGGTGGAAAAAAGCAAATTATATTCGGATCAACTAAATCGGTTTCTCACATTCAAAAACAAGATGGATGTCCCGGCTCAAGCTTCTGTTCAGGGAACTTCACTATTGCCCGCAGAGATTCCACCAACAGTGCATGCTACGCCTGTACCAGCGGAAATACCACCACCACCAGTGCCTGCTATGCCTAAACCTAATTTCCTTATGCCACCACCAACAGAAGGTGAACGACCAAAACTCAAGCACAACTTTTTTCACAATTTGGTAGATTCTGCTGATTGGAAAGAAAGTGACTTGGCTATGATGAAACCAAAGGAAAGAGAGCGATATGAACGTTTTTTACTAAAAGAAAGACCAAAATATATTCCAATGAAGGATGAAGATGTTGCAAGATTATCCCCAGAAGATAGACAAGAATATGAAAACTCTTTAAAAATAACAAAAACACCTAGACGTTACGCTCTTAGAAGTAGACCGTACTAAATTTTGTAAAACGTTTTGAAAAAATAAATGTATTTAAAAACTAAAATATTGTGTAAATTTTTGCCGGCAAAGCCCGCTCTTTCCGCCCGCCTGATAAGTGTACAAATATGTTGTACATTAATATATGCATACACCCAAGCGTCGCTAATGACTTAGCAACACATAACAACGCAACGTTTGTAAAGTTTTAAAGCATGTTTTATTGATACAAATAACAGATGATAGTATAAAAAAATACTACAACTGTTCTAATTCTAATTTCTATTCTTGATAAGCTTTCTTGTGATCATCTTAACAATATATATGTATGTAGGAGGATTGCTAAATAATCTTGAACAACATGCAAATATTGACCATAACAACGACGTTGACAACTCGGGATTAGGAACTGTTCTGTTTAAAATATGTCTTGATTTTTGTGACGAATAGATTCCTCGCTATGGAACATACGGAAAATCCTTCAATATACTTGTGGAAATTTATCTCTTCCTAGCAAAGATACGGCTATAACACTGCTATATATTAATTTCGATAACAATTTTGCCTTGTGAGGGACTCAAGCTTTTCATAGCAAACCAACATTAATCCCTCTAATTGTACCATACACGTGGGGAGGACGCTAAAAAATGCGTGGTCAGCAAGTTTCGCCCGATCGTGTTTAAGCTCGCCCGCGTGATGTCATTGCATATAATTACGATGTGTGCTAATGAGTGACATCATTACGCACCCTCATTCCTCCTCACTCCTCCACCACACTCCTCCTCCTCATTTCTCCTCACTCCTCCTCCTCACTCCTCCTCCTCAAAAATAAGGGTCGAACGGTACCTATATTACTACTTGGGTTTGCGTGCGGATTTTGGCATATTCGTTTGCGCCAATTATCAAATGTACAGGTAAATTTCTATCATCGGTCATGTCATCGATAGTAACACCTCTCAAGTGCTGATATTCACTTAAAAGCCGTTCATAATTAGGATTATCTAAAGTCAATAGTTCGCACTTGTTTATTTTAGTAACTCTGGCATTGAGAATATATTTCCGTATTATCGCTTCTAAAGACTAATCGTATTCTTCAACTTTAGTTGTAGTTGTGCTCATTAAGGTAGCTATTCTGCGAGTACTAGTTTTGACAGGACGCGCTTTAATCTGTTTGATTAAGGTTGAGGAAGCGTAAGAGTGACTGGCGCCACTATCAAGCAACACGCGGAATGTCTGTCCGTTTATCTTAATTAACACTACAGGATGAATTACAGATGTTTTGTTTATACTGGCTGTGAAACTTGTACCGGTTGTTAGTTTCATCAGGGTTTTTACTCTCACATATCGAAGTATGATGTCGCCCTTCGCAGAGTTGGCACAAGATTTTACTCTTACAAGAATTTGCATGATGCTGACCACTTGCGCAATTAAAACATAAACCCTTTTTGGCAAGGATTTTCGTTCTCTCAAGTGGTGTCAACACCTTGTCACAGGTTTTGGCTCTATGATCTGTACTTTCGCAGTACACACATTTTATTTCATGATCGTGTGACCCAAATGCTTGCCCGCCCCGGGACTGACTGTAGGGATCTTTTCCAAATTTACCGCGTTTATGAACTTTAGGAACTAGATTGGTCTCCGTCCATTTTTTCAAGGATTCTAACAAATCCTTGAATGTCCAATCTCTCCAATCAGTCTTAACACGAGTCACCAGTTCAGCTTTGATGATTTCAAGTTTGCGCAACACGTAATAGGTTGTGCCTTCAATGCTATCAAGTTTCCCCAGGGTTTCCAAGCTCTCAATGTTAAACAATAGCTGTTTGTAAAATCGGTGTATTTTGGAAACGTCCCTTTCATTAATGGTCGGCAATTCTAAGAGGCTAACTACATATGAACCAGCTACTTCGCTAGGGTGCCCATATTTATCTTCTAAATACTTGAAGGCCAGAGTGTATCCTTCGTTTGTAAACGGGAGGCAGTCTATCGCGGTTCTAATACTTGGCTCAACAAGCTCTTTAAGGTGGGAGAACTTAGTTATCGATGGTACACTTTGCGAGTCGACCATCGCTTCAAACTGGCCTTTGAAGCGCACCCAGTCATGCGGTTTACCATTAAATCTAGTTTTATCAGCAATTTTCTTCTCTTTCAGTGTGGCCTCTAACTTCTGCTCTAATAATTTTTTTTCAAATTGCATTGTCTGTTCCTGTGTATGCTTCAATTCAACTTCTTTTGCCTTTGATCTATTGTCTTCACGAAATCGGCAAGTTTCTGCATACACTTGTCAGCCAGTGCAATTTGATTTTCCATCTCTGTAGACCATTGTTCTATTGATTCATCAGATTCGCTCTGCGCAAATTTGGCTTCTTCAATGGAACCCTTTAAAATACTAATTGTACTTACAATTGTTGTGATGGACTCACAGTGTCTGTCTACGGCTGCTCTATCTTCATTCCCGAGTACTTCGTCGCAGCGTTTCAATCTGAAGTTCAACACCCTGAGCTTCGCATCCATCTCACTTTGCTGTTTCTTCATGTTCGAAACGTCGAATCACAATCCTGTCGGAGGTGCCAGTAATGTGGGGAATGGCAGGTTCGGTCCCGTTCAGTACGATCCCACGAGATCACAAATTCACTCACAGTTTAATCATAAACATAAAATTATATTTCACAAAAGATTTAGCTCTCGCTCACTTGGCTCACAATCTGACAAGACAGAAAACATGCACAGACACTTATCTTTTAACACAACAAAAAGGTTATGAGTTCAATTAACTAATGACGTAAGTTTGAATACTAGGTTCTAGATGAACAGTACATGATAACACTTAGTTTAAAGGGAAATGGCAATATTTTTTTTTTCTCATTTGAAAGAACGTTTAAAATCATATATGAAACTCTTTTACTGTTTGTTCATATCTTGCTTACTTCTACAAATATTTTAATCAATAGAAATGAAATGTCAGCCATCTTGGATTTTTCTGGATATGCATGTTACGTCACAACATGGGTCACGCAATATTTTTATATCTAGACAACCACTAATCATTTTGCACTCAAAAGTATACTCTGTATGCCCTTGGAAATATCAAGATCACTTGAAGCGTTTAAAACATCTACCAAGCAATATTCGGTCAGTAACGAATACTTTTATATGGTTAATCCCTGTTGTGACGTCACCAAAACTACCGTTAACGAGATCAAAAATGTATCCAAGATGGCTGACTTCAAGGGAAAATATTTAAAGAACTAAGCAAGATATAAAGAATCGGTAAAAGAAGTTACTAAATAGTTTCAAAAGTTCTTTGAAACGAGAAAATAAAAAAATATATTGCCATTTCCCTTTAAGGCAATTTCCGACAATAGCACTGATTCGAATGCCTTACTTGCCCCCAAGCGTCGACAACCTTCACCCTGGCAATGAAATGGCAATGCTTTACTTGGTGGCCTAAGTCTTCATGTTTGACCAGTTTAACCTCTGATGGAAAACACTTGAATGTTTCACTAAGAAGCAGCTTATTGTATCCAGCGCGACCATTTTTCTTATCATCTAAGTTGTGTGCGAACACTCCCTTGAACGTCATCATTTATGCATCTCAAATGCTGTGTTGGCATGCAATATTCAAATTTGGCGCACAATTTTTGTTTTCATATGACGACAACAATTTGCAATGTGTAATATGAAGTCGAGATATTAAAGAAACTAATACACTAGTTAATATTAAACGTTTTGTTTCAAGGATACTATTACAAATAAGTACCAAGGTTTGATAATTAATTTATGTCATCAATTCATCAACTTTGATACAATGCCATGGTTAGCAACACCTGAAACGCTAATCCTTTCACACATCGTGCAGATTCTCATGATTTATTTGTATACAATAGCACATAATACAGGTTTTTGTAGTTGGAAATTTCAAGTGTGAATTTTTATACATTTATCAGACCTAACAGGGAGCCAGCTATGGCAGGAATCAAACCCTCAGCCCTGCAATTCTGGTGCAATGCTCTAACCAACTGATAGCCAATGTAATGTGTATAGCTAACTAAATGAATGAATGTATAAAAATGCACACTTCGTAATTTCCATCTACAAAACCTAAGAAATATTAGTCGAGATGTAGAAAATATTCCAATTATATCCATTTCATATTTTAGTAACAAACAACACAATTTAGTAACAAACTGGCATTTTTTCTAATTGCAACAAATACAATCAATTGAAATGCTAGATACTGTTGATGTAGAGTACATACATGTAACAAACACAACATGTTTGAGTCAGTTATGTTGTTTCCGCATTCCACGATGGTGTATCTGCTGTTGGATGTGACTGTGCAGGGGTGCTAGCAGCAAACCTTGACAATGACTGTTAACAAGATCACTTGTCTTGGGTATGGGTTTGAGTGCAATTGATTGGGCAATATTCTTCGGGTGCTCTTTAGGGATTTCAACTTTTCGAAGTATACTTTCCTCATCATCAACTCTCTTCTCACGATTCTACAAGCAATGGTAGGCCAGAAATCATAGGTTTTGGGCTCCTTTACAACTTCTATTCTCCAATTGGATCTCTTGCTGTAAACTTTGTTGTGTTTAGGTTTACCACTAGCAGTAATTGCCGCTTTGCGAAACACATGTGCGTTGTGATCAATAGCAGCCAGAGCATCATACCTATTGAAAGAAGCATAAGGATTATCTTATTTTTAAGCATATACTGTGCGGGATTCACTTTATTTGTGCACATTATAACACTTCTAACTGTAGTATAACATATGTACAGAAGCACACTTACTGGTATCCCACTCTTCCTTTAAGTACATATTTCAATAATGTGGAATTAAAATTCTCCAATCTGCTTGTGTGCCTAGATGGTAATGTACAATTATTAAAAATTCTATGTTTCCTAAGGGGAATTATATGTGGAGACTTGAAACTTTTGTATGTTTTGCACCGATCTTGCTGTATTCGGGACAAACTTGAGGATACATGTGCCCCACAGCACCACCATGTCATTATTTACCACAAGGTATGGCATGGAAAGAAATTAATTACTGCTAGGCCAATACTGTACAAAATCTTAAGGTGACATAGTGATGCAAGCTATTTACCGTTCATCAAGCACCACCTTTCGAACTGCGTCAAATGCTTTACAGTTCTTGTTCAAGTACATCTTTCCAACTTCTGTATCCACCAGCGGTCCATGGTCACACTCACCATCAACCCATTTATGTTCACCAGCAATGTGATGTAATATGCCCAACCAGCTGTCCTGAAAAATGAATTTTTAGTTCAATACATATGCTCTTCATACAATTTACTAATACTGGAAGCATTTTTAGACCTCCTAAGATAGCACAAAATCCTTTATGGAGGTGTATATGGATTTCTCTGGAAAGACACAATAACAAGTACTGTAGTCCAAGTATTACATGTTGTTATGGCAATTATAAATAATCATATATGAGACAATCACTTTCACCAGAAATTAAATTACATTTGCATAAAATGTAGTGTACAATCTAATATAAACATTTTCATACTTCGAGTTTTTCTTTATCCTCATTGGCTCAGACCATTCACTGATTGCCTCACAGCCCCTGACTTTACCAACACCTATGTTGGAAAACTTTTAGAAATGTTTATTTTATCAACGTGTTTATTACTACATATGAGTAATAAGTATTAACGTACACAGCCACCAAGTTAAAACAACAAAATGTTAGCATACTTTGGCAAGTTTCTTTGCCAGTTTGCCAGACTTTTGCCAGACATGAAGTGTATGAAACAGGTAAAAAACTCGCCGGGGCACTTGTCTGGTAAAACATAAAATACAACAAAAATTAACAATATTATTGCTGAATTCTTCTCACATGACAATATTATATCATAAACTTTGGACATAAATGCCTTCCCTGCTACTAAATAAATCATTGTAGGAAATATCAGAACCCCCTCTGAAACAGCTAAACTAAACATTGCATATGTCCAGCTATGATGGATAATGTTAGTGGTTTCTGTAGGTAATACAAGTAGGTGAACTAGCTGTAATATACAAGTAGAACTTCAACAGTTTGTGTGAAGAACCTTGTCTACTTTTCATCACCTACATGGGCCCCTGCCATTAAGGATGTTAGGATAATGCAAGAGATTGAAATCCAACACTTTCACAGTTAGCAAGTAAAAGCATATGGCATTATAGTAAAAAAAACATATTAAGTGTTTTGCCCTATGACTTAATTGATTAACAAGAGACATTAGCAGATTGTATGGTTAGCCTCGTCATATCTTAATAGTTTCCTACAAAATTTCTGTTACCTTTCATCTTTCTGACTAATGCAATCACTGCAGTCAAAGCATTAGTAACTATTTCAGACAAGACGATTTTGCCAACCATTCTCTCTGGTATTGTTCTTAACCCAAAGGCTTCCATATTAGTTGATATGCCTCCTGTCTGATGTTTGTTCACCATTCCACATCAACAATAAGTCTGAATGTTGCTCCATCAAAGCACACATGCAATACTTTGCACTGTGTCCTGGTGAATCATTCCGACCATCACCACACAAGGCAACAGGCTCACCAGACAGGATATCCTATATTTCATCTCATTGGTTCGCAATACTTTTAACTTCAGGAATGATAAAATGAGTTTGAATCCTGTTACATGCCTGGCAAAAACGCATGCGAAATCGCCAATAACAAATGTCCAATGTTTCAGCTTTGCCGTGTTGCAATTTTCGATGGACTGGAAGCTAATTTATTTTCTGAAAATTGTGCAATTTTTGGTTTGCTCTTTGGACAAGAAGGGATAATTATAAATCAATACGGATATCTTGGGAGGGAATTTTTTAGGATAATTTTAATACTAAATTTGCTATGGTTACGATTGACTTCTGTTTTCTGAGAGCCTTTGTTTTGACACTTTCATGCCAAGTATTGACATTTGTGGCAAAGCAGCTGAAATGTACAACATTTGGCTAGTTATACAGACCTTGCAAGTTTTTAAAAATTTTATGTGGGAAGGTAATTTCCTTTGGTAGGTGTCCACGAGGCACTGCAGTTGGAAAATTGCCTTTCCGAGGTTTTTTCTTTCGCCTTTCTTGAAGCACAAACCGTACATGTTCATGCTATAAAAAATGTTAGCGTCGCTCCTCCTTCTCAAACAGCAAAAAATAGCGCTCCTCAGGCTCAGGAGTCTCCCAGCTTTTTGTCTCTTTTTGATATGCAATTGAGACACACATTTTCAAGACTTCTGGGTACTGGCGTTGGCAAAAAGAATGCATTGAACATTGTGCAAATGAAAAGAAATGGGAGTAATTGCCCCACAGGAAGAAACCTTGACAAGTTAAGTTTAAAAATGCAGGAAGAAAGTCACTTCATGTGCAGTGCGTGAAAGCAAACAAAGAATGCTATAATTTCACAGTAATTGCGGGAAACTTGGAAGGTTTGGTTATATCTTTTCCGTTATTGCTTTTATTTTATATATTCTTTGATTATTTGAAAGTTTGGGTGTTTTCAAAGATCCTATGTTTTTAAATTTAACCCAATTAGGGTCAATTCGTAACCCGGATCCTGGTCAATTTGACTCAATTTGACCCTGGTCAACTTATTTGACTTGGAATTCCGGGTCAATTTTTAACCCTGAATAAGGTCAACATTGACATGTGACATGGTCAAAATCAACCCAAGTTTAGGTCATCAAGTGGCTGCTTCTGATCAGAATGATCACAACATGGCTGCTTCTCATCAGAATGCAAAATTAAAATTGAAATAAAATTTACAGAAGAACATTTAATAAAACATTTATTGTCATCAATCAATACAATTATAACTAAGCGTAAGTATAATTGACAATCCCCCTATAATTGGCAATTCACTATTCTCCCTTATCCATTTTGCCCTGTTAATGACAGTTTTCTCCATTAAGTCTTCACCGTTGAGGAAGGCTCAGGATGACATTTCAGCCATTCTTTCATTTCATGATCTACATCTTCCGTATCGCATTCTACAAAATTAATACAATAATTGAAAAGATGTTTGTTTAAATTAGGCTATTTGGACTTTTCTGTCAACATTATTGGGCTGTTATATTGTAGCAGAAATATTTAACTCAAACTTTTAAAAGATTGTGTGAGCTTGCGGCATCTGTTATTGGCTCGCAGGCTAAAAATTAAATAATTTTAATACCACATTGTTCATAATACAACAGTAAGAACACAAAGAGCTGCAAGAAGTAATGCTAATTTCAGACTTTCAGTTAAAGGTTGCTCAGAACACCAAATGCACCTATGCAGCTAAAAAACTGGCACCAGTACTTAGTAGTGGTCGCTTTTCTTGCTCTTGGCCATGCCTATCTGTACCTGGTAAAACCTTTGCTGAACTTATCAGCTTAGAGTGTGAACTACTGCTTTCTCCTGAAGTTGGATCTCGAACTTTGTTTCGCTTTCGAAAGTTCCTTAATCCCTCTTCAAGCCAACCAGTAGCTGAATGTAATTTTTCCCTGGAGTGGCACCATGAAGCTTCCTAAATATGCAAACATGATATTTTGCTATTATGTATGGTATCAGGGATGGATCACGATTTGGTAGGGGGGGTGCAGGCCGGCCACGGGGTGGATATTAGAACGTATATTTGTTCGGAAATTTTAGAAATGAGATGACAATATGTTGCTTAGATTGTCTGAGCCTCAGATCAGAAAGTCCCCAAACTTTCAAATACACCAAAACATTTGTAACTAGGTACTAATTCCTTTTCATAATTTCTCTAATTTTGAACTGATAACCAAATGAGCACCAATCATGCTCCTCCTTTAGCCCATGGCTGGGAGGGGGCCCCCTTGTTAAAATTTCATGTTGACTTGGGAACCCCCTGTGTGTAAATTTTGAATAGTCTTAAACGAGAATGTTCTTTATAGAATTGCATCTACAAAAAGCGGTACAGAAACCTTGAATTACATACCCTTTTGAAAAGCTCAGAATATTTTTTATTACTAATGGCAATTGTTTTTAATAAGCTTATTATTAGCATGACAAAATTACTGGATGCTGATTGGTTGAGAGGAATACAATTATTTTATTAATTAATTAAGGTATTTTAAACACAAGCGTGAAATGAAATTGCCCTAGAGGAACTAGATGAAACCACGAACAAAAGCACCAAATTTTGCTTTAACAAAAGGACTAAATGAAAATACGGACAAATAACCAAATTTTGGTTGAAGTCTGGCAGGACTGGCCTTTGGCGAGAGAATATATAATGTTGACATCGAGAAGTATGCAATTTTGTCATGCTAATAATAAACAAGTAATCATGCGATGTTGCTCGTACAATTAGGGATTAATAGTACTTGTGATGTTTGAAAATTGCCAAATTGGACTCACCCCAGTCCAACTTTGGCAAAATTTTCAAACATCACTCGTGCTATTAATCCCTAATTGTACTCGCCATTGCATGATTACCAATACATAATTTTAAAGTGGAAGTCAAGTCCGTAATGTAAACGAACTGTTTAATAATTACATTTTGAACTGCTGTATTTGTTAAAATATGATGTACTCTCTGAATATCTAATACCATTTTAGTTCACTATGCTTTTAAAAAAATTCGAAATTTGGGCAATGTTTACATGAGAGGGTTCTTATATTGTTATGAGCACTACCGATTTGCAGAATGGACTTGACTTCCACTTTTAATGTTTGTCCCACAATTATTAGAAAATAACTAAACAAAATTTAGAATTTCCGAAATATCATATTGTAAACACCCCCCTTCCCTGCCAGTTAAGACACTTTTGGAAAACAAGGGATGAAACTACCCTGGTGTGTGTGTGTGTGGTGGGGGGTGACACCCTTTGTCTCTATCCCATCGGGTATACCCATACAATTAATTTAGTCTGGCAAATTTTGAAAATATTTGAGTGTCTTGGATTGAAAAGTAATAGTGTTAGGGAAAAGTGGTTGTGAAAAATGCTCCGCTCACCAACAATTTTCGGAAAAGAAATATTAATTAGCAACTGATCAAATGTTCGTCCCTCGGGAACAACTTCAGAAACGCCCTTTTGGTCAGGCAAAACAAGCTAACCCCCCAGCCATAATACCGAAGTTTTGCCCCCTGTTGGAGAGCCCCCTTGTTAGCATTCCAGGACTACACCACTGATATAATAAAGGCTGTAACAGGTGTGCCCAGAAGGTAAATAAAATTGCCACGTTTCAAGCAAAATCCCTTTGTCAGGAGAAATTATTTAATAGACAGATAAATAAACAAGTGAGTTTTTATGGCAAGACTACAAAAGCTTCAATGGAATAGGTAACCCATATAAACCACTAGAATTGTTTACTAAAAAGTTGTTTACTTCTCAAGAAAACGTTCACGTTTTTAGTCGTATTTCTACAAGATTAAAGTAATTATATGTAAACAGAAAAATATTTCAGTTTCATAGCCTAATTGTTCATTTTTTGCAAAAAGTACAAAACCAAACATGAAACAAAAAAACACGTCCACCTGTTAATAGGCTGTTACAGCTCATAGATTGAGTAAACGGCAGGATTCAATTAGCTTCAACCTTGTTTTCATCGATTTAATCCTTCACAATAATCCTTGGCTGTCCATAGCACTCAAATAAATCGAAAAGTTGACAAAAACAAAACAGTAAAAACAACATTGCCGCTCGATTTTGCTGAATGAAAACTCGTTCTGCGCCCGCGTACAATCTTTTACTAGTCAGCGACGCTTTTCAATAAGGGAATTTCTCGAGTTACACGAGGCTATTTTCTAACTTTATTTGCATTTTACTCATTAGTTTCATCGGTGACCTATCTTCAAATTTTGACCACAAATTTATTTTGCGGTAAATTTTATAAATTTCAAATTTTAAAAAAATCTGTAGTGTGGAAATTTCGCAATAAATTTTTCGCTTTTAAAAAAATCACACACTACAGAATTTTTTTAAACTTTCACCACAGTTGCAGAGCATCATTCCTTATTGATATATGAAATAAAAAAGATAGGTCACCGACATCGTTTTTGAGATAGCGGCACATTTATGGGTTAAATTGGAAGGCTTTATGCTGTCGTCATGTTGCCATGGGAACATTGACATCGTCGAAATCTAGTTCGAAATATTCCTTAGGTGGCCAATATTGCCACCAAGTCGAAAAGAATTCGCGTTCTGCACGAATAAGCCTGTTTTACGGAATTATTGCTTAAACAAGAATAACTGTAGGGAGCCACCTTAACACAAACAAATGTGTAATAAAACAATTATTGAATTCGGTTTTTGCAATATGCAAAAGGTAAGCGTTATCATCCTCGCCTTCGACTCAGCTGACAATGCTTACCTCAACCTTGATAATTCCGCATATCACAAAAACCTCGTCCAATAATTGTTAAATACAGTATGTTTTATTCCTTAATATTAATTAAATATAAAGCATGCCAATTTATTTTAATGATCCCTGACAGGAGTTGTAGATGCCTTTGAAAACAATCTATGTAGGGAGGGTGGTGCCGGTGGGCATAATAATTTTGATAATATTACTTCAAGGCGGATTTTCTGTACAGTATTTACTGTACCATTGCTGTGTTAAGTGGTTATATTCCTACCTGAAATAAACAAGCGGAAACTCAACGTTTCGAACGAAGGGCCTTCACTCAAAACGTCGAGTTTCTGCTTGTTTATTTCAGGTAGTAATAAAACCACTCAGCACAGCAATTTCACATTGGTACTACCTACACTGGTACAGACAGTTTTATTGTATCATTAATGTAGAAATTAGCGATTAGATTTGAAAGAAGCAAATTTTTAATATGTGGAATATTTTGAGGTACCCACATATCCAAAGACATCAGGGAGTCAGATTTTCTACTTATTAGTTACAGCTAAAAGTGTTGTAACATGTGAATCCACTCATCATTTGAACATTGGTAATAAATGTAGACAAATTGACTTTGTATTTAATATTTTGTATACTTTAGTGATGACCCTGTTGAGTCAGATGATGAAGATGATGGGCAAGAATTTGTTCTTACGAAAACCATAAAGAAAAAGACTGGAAGAAGAACAAAGTGGACAGAAGAAATGCTAAATGATTTCATTGATATCATCGTCAGCAGTGAGTATTACAAGAAGAAACTTATATTTATGAACACAAAGACCCAGAGAAATGGTGAAATGTATGAAGCTATTCTCAAACAACTAGAAAAGAGATGTGTCAAGAGGGGTGAAAAAGTTCCATTTACTGCACAACAATTGACATCAAAGTTTAAGAAGTGCGTTGGCATGTGTAAACAAGCTGCGCTCACCATTAAATCAGCCACTGGTATCAAAAGATTTCAAGAAGACAAAGGCTTTGGACAATGGTTCAATCAATCAGCTGTATAGCATTGTGAAAACCAGAGACTCTTGTAATCCAGAAATTGCAATTGAGCCATCAGCATTGGGAAATACATCAGGAAATTCTACAGAGGAAGTCGGTGATTCAGATATTATGGAATCTGAAGACACTGCAACAAAAGGATCAGATGAACATGAAGGGAAAGATAAGTTGTTTATACCAATAAAACCTAACAAGACAAAGAAAAAGGAGGATGTTGCTGTTGAAGCTCTACAGGTTCTAAACAAAGTAGTTGAAAGAGATCATACAAAAGAACTAATAGATTTTATGAAGGATCAAATGGAGAAGTCGCAGGAGCATGAGTTAAAGGTTTTAAAAATGAATATCAGTTCGGAAAGTATACCACAACCAAGAAATGTCCATCCTCGTGGAATTGAGTCTGTGTATCAACAGCCTCACATGCCAACTCATTGTCACTGGAATTCAGGATCTACATTTCAATCCAATTTACAACCCTCTCCCAATCAATCACGACCATCTTCAAGTCTAAGTTCTTCGAGTTCCCTTTCCTTCAACAACACTGAACCAATGGCACATGAGCAGGAACCAACATATCATTCTTTGTAATTGATGTGTATAAAAACATGTCTGAATATTTTTTGAAATTGTTGTTATAATGATTGTATGTCAGAAGGTTACATACAAACAGTTCAGGATACAAAATATTAAGAAGCCTACGTTGTGTTGATGCATGCCCTGAAAAGAATGACAACTTGTCAGGATTGTTTAGCCACATGTTTTCAGTCTCACTGTAGTACTGTAGTTACATAGGTTGTTGTTATATTAACATATGTTGTGTTTATTAAACATGAAGATAAAAGATGTAAATATGTGGTTAATCCCCAACACTTGCCAAGTTTGTAGCATGAAATAGGAATGGGATTTTTCTTGCCCCCTAAATGAAGAACTTTATTCAAGAAATTCTTTGAAAGAGCATTTCCCAGACAGTTATTAAATTTTACTTTATTCAGAAAATATGAATTACATGTAAAGTATAGGAATAAACTCTGAATGAAGACATGTTCAAGATAAAAGTGAAACAACATGATACCTCCATGAATTTACAAATCTAAAATTCAAACGTCAAACATGTGCAAGTGAGATAACCCATAAACACATTCCCAAAATAAGTAAAATATTCAAAAAATGTATTTTTAAGTTACACTACAGGTATTTTAACATGTTCAGGACCATAGCAACTGGGATGTGAGGCAAGTGGTGCTACCTTCTCCCTTACTACTACTAGTTTGTTAAGAGGAATATCAGGTAAATTTCTGGTAAAATAGCAGTAGGTAAAGTAATTGCTGCCCCCTTGTAGAAAATGAAAACAGGGCTGATAGATGACTAGTCCATTTACTGGCGGTACTCTACCACTGACAAGTAAAATCATCTGGCATTAGACAGTGTAAATACTAAAGTAGGGCGCATTGCCAGTCAATGGGCTAGACGAAAAATTAAGGTAGTTGTGAAAATGTTTAGTGATTGACTTATGGTGCAGCAGTCAAAATTGCCGATTATTCATGCCACAATCTATGATGGTGTCATAGTATCACTCGACCGAGTAAAGGTGACGTAATTCATGTCAATTTTTTAACGATAATTTCCAACGTAACATGTTACTGCAACGAAAGATCATTATATACTGTACCATGCACTAATAAATGGCATGCTTCACAGATAATTTAACATAATTTTGTGTATTTTCTCAACAATCGGTTTTAGACCATAACAAATATAGGTAATTCTTTCGATTGTCTACCGATAAGGCAAAAATCGGCCCAACACAGATTATTAGTTAATCACAAACTTTTTACAAAAACTCTCAACGCCTCCCCTTTGATATCAAAATTTTTGGAGAACACCCCCCCCCCCCAGGAAATGTTTTTGAGACCTGATTACACAACACGACTATATATCTCACCTGCGTGATTTTAAAATTTGAATATCTCTAGCAATAACAATAACAAAATTTGAAAGAATATTGAAAACTAAACTCTTCCAGTTGTTCTCTCCAACATTAGTTTTCTTGCAAGGGCATTGCGAACAATTGTTCCTTGTGTTGAGTTTATCGATCCTGATCTTCTCGTAACTTCTCATTTTGAGTAGTTTCCTTATTTCAGCTCTGGGTCGTTTTTCATTGGTCAAGGGATCTAATGTTATGTCTTGTTTCTTTCAAATGGTGTCTCCCCGTTCAATACAAACATTATGGAGCACCATACAAGCCAATGTTGAATTTCTGACTGCCTTGTGGCTGCTGTCACATTTTCTTAGTAAAACTCTCCATCTACTCTTTAACTGGCCAAAAGCACCTTCCATTATCATCCTTGCCCTACTTAGCCTGTAGTTGAAATATCTTTCTTGAACCGTGAGAGTGGCATTTGTGTAGGGTTTCATCAACCATGGACTTAAGGGAAATGCAGAGTCTCCAAGAACCAGTGGGGCCACATTTATGCCATTCACATCCTGTGCAATAGATGGAACATAATTGTTTTCTGTTATATTTTTCCAAAGGTGTGTTGATTGTAATATTATTGAGTCATGTGAGTTCCCAGGGAAACCGCATGTTCCCCATATAAAACGGTAATTGGAGTCAACAAGGGCCATTGCTACCACAGAATAGAAATTCTTGAAATTGTGATATTCTTTTCTTGATTCTGCCCCACCTGGCAGACATTTAATAGGTATATGGCAGCCATCTATGGCAGACCAGCAGAAAGGAAACTGCCAACAATTTCCTCCATATCAAGTATTTTTTTTCTGAAATCCTCTTCGCTTTTCGGCATGTGGCGATTGACAGATTGTTCCCACATGTTCTCGACAATTGTAACTTCGTTGGTAATGGTACAAACAGTAGACACACCAAGCCTTACCATTTCAGATATAGTAAAGAAGTAATCACCTCTGCTTAAGCGGTACAGCCCAATGGTCAATCGACACTCAGGAGTAATTGGCTCTTCGGTAATTGTGTCTTGCAACAGTTTATGCCTGATGTGTTGAAGTATGAACCTGAACGTTTCCCTTGACATTCTGAACGTCTTCTTAAATCGCCTATCGGAATAGTTTGTCCACGCCAAGTTAAACCATCCAGGATTTCTTTCCAATCGGCGACATGAACGTGTACAATTTCGAGTTTTCAATGAGAGAATGAGGAAAACGAACAAAATACAAATATGGAGTACCATATTGCGTTTTGTAGTGGCGTATAAAATAATATTCTGGCACATTATCTGCTCTCTTCTTCCTTTTTGAAACAGGTAAAAGAGTAACGCTTTACGCTTTTTATCCGCCAGGTTTTTTTACAATTAGGCAAAATTTATAATTAATCTTTTCGAAAATTATTAAGACTGCCTATTTAAGTTCGACGTCTCAATCAAATGACTTTAGGTCCACCACGGATCGACCTAAATAACAGAAAAGATCGGTTCATGTGAAGTTCGACGTTTGAACCAGGCCTTAGGGTATGCAACATGTGATGCAAAAGAGGACTGGTTATTAATAGCACACTTTATTTATAAAAATGAAGAAATAACAGAAAATTATTGGTTTTATTCATTACATGTAATGGGTTGTCAGTTGCATGAATAGAAACATGTGGTCTTGCATCATTGACAGCTCTAGAATAAAAAAGAATAAGCTAAAGAATACTATTTTAATATGGTAGCTATAAAATTGCACTTTCAGACACCAGAATTAACTGCTCTTGTGCTTGGGCAAAATAATGAATAATGAAACTCTGCAACAATTTTCAAATATTTCGGACGTTATTCTAATACGTTCATTTCCATGAGTTAAGACATTCCATGCAATTGTAGCATAACTATTGTTATGCTAAGAATTCATACAAAGGGCCCATTACTTATTACTCATTAGTTGTGAAGAAATCTGGCACACAGCTATAGTATATGTGCATTTTCTCAGGTGCCTTGTGCACATGATCATGATTTTCTTTATGATAATAATAATAACAATTATATTTAGGCCACATAAAAAAAATTACTTGTTTAGCATCCACACATTTTAATTTTTCTAGGTCGGGCGGGTGGTTTTTTTTTGTTTTTTGTTTGTTTGTAAAATGCAATACAAAATTCTGCTAAATGCAGGAAATCCAGTATATTACCACAGTCAAAACTCACTTTAATTCTTTCAAAATCCGTTCATGTTTTTTAATACAGTTCATGTTTTTAATAAAACAGAAAATTACCATTTGGCGGTCACGCGCGAACACTTTAGCTGCAAACAGGCATATTCTGGGAAGGAAACTTTGTGTAAACATATTACATAGCTCCCAGAAGAATAAAATCACCATTTTTTCAAGGAAAACGGTCTTTTTTATAGAGAGTTTTAGCACTAAACTCGGAAAAAATAAATTTAAAAATTGGAGGTCGGGGACTTTTATCAGGTCGGGCGGGGACTTAACAAGGAGTTACAGATAAAGCTACAGTACAGCTTAATTGTTTCCAATCTGGTCCTGCTAAATTCTAGAAATATATTACATTATGTGATTATGATACTCATGCAGTTAACATACTTTAGATACATAAGACATACAGTCACAGTTACATCACAATCACACAACATACACAGATACATCACAATCGCACAACGTTAATAATTTCATTTAATAATATTAAAATTTTATGTTAGTATAATCTTTTTGTCTTCAGTTCTGTCATCTTTTGTACAATACTTTGTGTAGGAGTGATCTGTAAAGATTTAAATGTTTAATAGCTACTCATTTTGGAACAATCGGGAAAATTAATGTGGTTTGGTTCATAAAATGCACAAAAATAGTGATTGATGGAAAGATAAACTTCCATTATATTCCTATGTTCATTATGTTTAACTTACCTGTCGTTAATATGTTTCTCAAGGATGTACCACAGTGACTAAATCATGTATTTGCCGCAGAACTATGCCAGTTTAGGGCAAATAAGCCAATTAGTCACTTATAATAATATGTATTATGATATATATTATCCCAGAGATAATAATCAATTTAAAATTGCTTAACGAGGTGACTACAAACCAGGGTGTTACCCAGGATTTCAAAAGTGTCCCGGTGTTCTGCAATTTTTTGTTGTTGTGGAATTGTGGTGTTCTATTCATTGAACCTTTTTACTTTTAGATGCACATTTCAGTTATTAAATTGGTATGAACCGTATGATCACTATGATGTAGGCTACAGTATATGCTATAATGAAGAACACAATACAGCAGTGTAGAGTTTAGTTATTTTTTATCAATGGCCAATTTCCCCCCCTTTTTTTATGCATTTGGTTAATTTTGTAGCCATCTTTACCATAACTGTAACAATAAAGCAGTGTGGCGCTCAATTGATAAAGCGATTGCTGTTTTTTAATGTTTTTTAATTCTGCTTGATACTTCATGCGAGAATCATCAACCTGGTTACAAAAACATGGCGCATTTGTTGGTACTTCAATTCAGGCATATTCAATGTGTTTTGGAGCGGGAAAAGTATGAAAACACATATGATAAGTAAAGTAAACAGCAGATGACAACAATTCGAAGTATTCATGAGATACTACAAAGCCTGTAAATTGCTATTTAAAGAAAATATTCCCTTAGGCCGTCCATTAAAATTTAGCCGTCCATAGGATGGTCGGACGGCCGCCTGGCTAACACCCTGCTACAAACTCAAGCCCGTCATTTCGTTTTGTATATATAGCAACCCGCCGCTAATGTCCCGTGCATAAGCGGTCTCTGCCAACCCTGACCAAATTGCATATTGAGAATTACATTAGCTCAGTGATTAAAGCGTATGTCTGGTGTGCGATCTTTTGTGTTCTTTGTCCTGGTGTTTTTTTCACGAAATTTTAGAGTGCTTATTTTTTCTTTCCAAACTTTTTAGGGTTGGGTTTAGGGTTATGTTTAGAACTAGAAAATACATGCATGCAGAAACCAAACCCTCGCCTTGCTGACAAAACCATTGTATTTTCTGAACATGAAGTATCTAAAGTAGTTGTCATGGTAACACAATTTTATAAGAATATTCTTACAAATGAAAAATCGCCTAAAATATCACTTTTAATTACAAAATTATCAAGTTCCCAACATATATATGTTAGGGACGGGTCATTTATTAGAGG